AACTTTTCATATCTTAGCGTCACACTACTGCTTGTGCTTGCAATGTGTTGTTAATGTAGAAATGGTGAATATGAGTATAACAGACACACAGATGATGATATGAGTAGAGTGACCTCTCTGTGGAGACAGCTCCGACCTAACAAGAGTGCTTCAGGCAAGAAGAGTCCTGGAGCTGAGAGCCACACAACATTGTCAGGGTCTCACAGCGATGGCAATTTTTTATTTTCTGCCTAATAAACTAATTTAATGACCTGCCTTTGTCTGCGTGCTAATGGACAAGAGCTGAAAAAGTGTGGTTAAATCAGACACAAGGTCGGCACATCCTTCACATAGCGTACAAGAACCTACGCACTGGTTTTGACTAAACAAAATCATATTGGAAAATGACAGCCTTCACAATCACCAGATCTCAAACCATATGTACGCCTATGGGAGACTTTGGACAGTGCTCTCCACCATGTTTATCAAAACACCAAAATCCAGTCTGATTTTCCTTTCACTTCTCATCCACCTGTAAATACATACAGCAAATAAACCTTTCCACTGCAGGAATATAACAATGTAATCTGAGCCTAAACTTTCATTTTAGGTTACGGGAGGTTAAGCTTGTGAGGCTTTGCTACTACACTCTTCTAGCATTTCGACTATAATTTATTTACTTACTTACTTTTCAGACTTACAAGAGACATTTCAGATATAAATTATTAAAAAGGCAACAAGCTTTTTTTGCGCTGTTTCGTAGGCAAGTGAAGTAAGCACTCGTGGAACAGACAACAATGGACACACGGAGTTGATTTTGTTATTGTTTTTCTTTCTGAGCTACTGAATCAAGAGCATTGCTGGGGCCAGTGCAAGTCTCTTGCTGAAAATGTCCTCCAGCGTGTCAACAGTTCATGCTTTTGGGTTGCTCTACTACATGCATTGTGATTCTTTATTTTTATGTATTGGTGACATTTAGAACAGCAAATGTAAAAGCTTTCAGGACCTGCGTATAGGTTGCATCACTATTGCTTCACAAACTATATTTTTTGACAGACGCTGAGAAATCTTTTGGTCTACTTTTTGGTGTCTACCCACTGACTTTAGCGCCCTCTGAATAGCCTCCTCTCCCCAATTACTTATGAAAACCAAGACATCTGGATGTGTTCTCCAACATTCTTTTTCTGCTTTGGGTTCACAGTTCATGATCCCCGAATGTTACGATGACGCCTTCTGACTACGGACAGCAACAGTTTCACTCACCCAATAAAATGTATCTCCATTTGAAGACGGACTGGTACAAATTTTGTTTATTCATGTTCGTACGATGTATCTAAATGTCTTTTACTGTAATACCACCACCAGGTAGATTTCTATGATTCAGACTGAAATGTCTGCTGTGATGTAACAACACATCTGCTGGATTAATCATGGTTGAAAGTACAAACCTCAAAAACCTGGGCTGCATGTTTTGTTGAGTTCCTGTTTTGGAAAAGTGCTTGTAGATACATGTGTGCACTGGTACAAATATATATGATTTATATGTGTGCACTGGTACAAATATATATGATTTTGTAAAAGCAAACACACACACACACACACCTCTGCTGTATGCTACATTTAATCTGCAGAGGTAGAAATAATATCCACTCAGCTTTACTCCCTTCAAATAATCATCTTTAGGTCTGAACATTAAAGAGAAAAAAAAAGAGTATTAAACCACGGGGGGGGGGGGGGGGGGGGGTACTGAAGAGCAGAGGGCAACAACCTTGTTTGTGACTTTGTGCCATCAAGCAAACCTGACGTGTGACAGAGAGAAAGAGTGCGTGTGTGTTTGTGAACAGGCCTTATCGTGTATTTGTGTGTGTAGCTGAATGTGTGGCTAGCAAGGCAGGCAGCTTGACTTCCCACTGCGATCCTGATTCAAAATGCACACCAGAGAGAGGCAGAGAGGGTAGGCGATATGGAGAGAGTGAAAATAGGGAGACATAGAAAGGCAAAGAGGACAGGAGAGAGACATGAAGAGAAGGGGAGACCAATTACGAGAACCCAACCACAGAGGGATAAGAGAGCGAACGAGAGACAGCGGAGAAACAGAGAGAGAGAGTTATTTCCTCTGGGTCTTTGAGAGAGAGAGACGAGAGAGGGGAGCGCGGCCTGTCTGCGTCCGGTCGGTCGTTCAGCTGATTAATTTGTGACAGGAGGGATTTCTTTGCTGCGTGCCTTGAATTGCTGCTCTAATTTATATGGTAATCTTCTTTAAGACTCTAACAGCATACAAAAAACCTTTTATTTCCATCTCTGCTAAGCCTAAACCGTTTTCTATACTCACTACACACATATAAATATACATAAATGCGCAGAGCACACGTAGGTCATATCCCAAATGTGATTATATGAGGGAAATGTGAGGACACCTCTCAGTTTCACTTTCTTGAAAAGGTGTCCCTGCGCTGGGAGGCTGTTCGGCTTGTGTTAGTATTCTTGACTGCCTCTTATTACCATGAATAATGCTTTAAATGTTTCACCCTCACCCCATGCTGAAGTACTGCTGTATATAATTAAAAGAGTGGACAACGGCTCAAGGGCAGCCTTTGTGGGATACAGGGACAGGATGGAAAATATGTTTGGGTGTAACTGACTAAGTCTGCATCATGTAGAATGAAAGGTAACGGTAGGAAAGAGTCCCATGTTTACAGCTTGAAAGTATTCATATCATCGGACCACTCAAGACAGTTGTATGATAGCAGAGTTGGTGAAGTGAGGACTAAAAATTCAGTGAATCGAAAATTCAGCAATATATCCATTTAGTTTGGGTTTAATTACCATGAACGATGGACTTTGGCTGACAAGAGGCATCCACATTTATGTTATTTAATTGTAATTAAAATTTGGATGTCAAAAATAAAACCTATTGCCAGACAAGAATTTTGAAGTTCTTTTACTAAAATTCTTTAAGATTCTCGCTTTCTGCAGTATCTGCGTATGGAAAGTAGTTACGTCTAAAGTTGGCAAAAGGTTTTTACATACATTTTAGTCAAAGTATGGTTAGGGTTAGACAGCTAGAACACTTTTCAGGGAAGTAAAAGATCACGATTACGATGAATAAAAAGACAAATGTTAACAGCTTGTCTGTAACGGGACACAAACTTTAGGCAGACGCGGTACACGCTTAGCCAAATCACAATTATATTTGTCCCTACAATCATACTGTTCCCATCTGAAGCCTTTATACTAATCACTGTCTAGTGTGTAGGGTCTCTACACCTCACTTTTTGTTAACATCACCTGAGAACTGATCAAACTGCTATAGAAAGCAGAAATAGCTAAAATCTTGGTTTCTGACATGTGGAGTCTTGAAATATCATGCTCTTTACAGGCCTGCAGCAGAGATGTTTTCATGAGCGTGGGTGCTGGTAAGAGAAATCAATTTTTCTCATTTTCCCCCCTCGGGGATTCTGGACGTAGATCAGTTTGAAAATTGAGTGTTATTCCTCTTTTAGCTCTTTAGGTCTCTACATGCCCCTCCAGAGGTAAAAGTCCTTTCAGCGTGTCGTCCGTGTGAATGCCAGTTAGAAAGGAATTGCCAGGATATTTACAGTAAAAGCTGTTTAAAAAAAAACACTGGCAGATGCACTGCTGGCAATCTTTTATTCCTTTTGGCAGTGACTTTAGAACCTCAAATTAATCAATCCTGACTATATTTTCCCAATGCAGATGATTTTTGCATTTACTGACATAATACAAATCTGCTGTGGATGTAGAAGTGCAGTGTAGCCCCTTGCACATAATATCAGTTTGACAAGTCAACACCACGTGTCAACTAGAGTGTTGGGAAGCAGTCAGCTGGTAAACATTTGTCATCTTTGTATCCATATGAACATGCAGTGAAGCCATGCGGTGAACGTGTGTGTGTGTGTGCGTGTATGTACAGTACAGTGTGCTTTGTGTGTTGTATAGCCGGAAATTCAGTAAATGTTCCTCTTCTGTGTGTGGGTTTGTACATGAGAGCAACATGTGTCTGCATGTGTGTGTATCTGAGTGAAGTGGATCCTATGTGCATTTGTACATTTGTAGACAGGAATGAGTGCACATCAGGGCTGACAGTTCTCCTTCTGAGGGTTACAGTATACTTTTAATATCTTTATAAAATCTGAGTGGTTGTAAGCAGGGACCCAGCCAGGCTTTTAGAAATACTAAGGCCATTTTCTCAAAAAATTATTATCAGATAATTCTTGCCAGCAAACTTCTTAAGAAATTATTAAGAAATCAGAGATGTTTCAACATACATCGTCAAATGTTTTAAACCCCTATCTGCACTGTCAGGAATTAAATTGTGGTGGGAAATACAAAATCCTTTGTTTATTCATTTAGTTTGTTGGCTTAAATATGCTGAGTCTGAAATATTTTGAATGATAACTTTGGTTTTGTTTTTTTTTAACCTGGATCGTATTTTCCCATGTTTTTGTGTCTATGTGACCAATTGGGGCTAATTTCATTTTTTGAAATTGGTCCAGTATAGAGCGGCAGCAGCAAGACAGGGTTGCAGCAAGCCCTGTCAAAGTACGTCCACTAAAGCGCTTGTTTTTGTTCCGTCCAGGTTGACAAATACCAAAGTTACCCCGCAACATTAAACTGTAAAATCCCAGACAGTTACTGAAATCCCCTTAAACTCCCAGGGCTGGTTATATGGGAGTGTATGGGAGAATTTAGCTCACCGCTTCATTCACACCTGAAAAGGTGATCCAGTTATATAACTAGGATAATAAATTTCAAGGTCTGACTTTTAGTATTTAGCTTTGTTGAAAAAGGTGTCTTTGTTTCACTGCATATAAAAATTTTCAGTATGTGAACACACAAGCAAACACGTGCTAGAAAAAGTCCTGGTTTGTCCCCAAAAAAGGGAGTGGATTATGGAAAGAATTCAAGAGAAATACTGTGATCTCAATTTATGATACTCGCCCCTGCTGCACATTCAATAACATCCAAATATTTGTAAATTGTGATTTTTTTTTTTTTACCTGTGAGCAGCTCTCGGATCTCCACATCTGTGGTCTTTCGGAGCAGTCGGACCAGAGCCGGTATGCCTCCGCAGTTCTTCAGGGCGATCTTGTTGTCGTCATTGGCTTTGCCGTACACCAGGTTCCTCAGGGCCCCGCAGGCGCTGCGGTGCACGTCGGTCATCCGGTGGTCCAACAAGTCCACGAGCAGCTGGATACCGCCCTGCCGCCGGATCTGGCAGAGACAGAAGAAGGAATTACGGGGAGAGCAGTGTGAAACTACTAATAGAAGTGTTTCAATGCATTTCTGCCAATTCTCTCCTAACAATAGGTCCGTTGGTGTCAATATCAGACATTAGGGCTTGTTTACCTTAAGAAAATAAGAATTTCTCACTTTTGATGCTGTGATTGCAGAAGATTATAAGTTATCATTTAAATATTCATTTCTACTGTGTGCAGTGACTACTGTGGCACTGATGCGAGATTTATTTAAATGCCAGCCACTGTTCTTTCTGTCCCATCGCTCCACTATGTGTCTGCAGCCCTCCCTGCTTTCCTCCGTCTAGACAGAGAAAATGTAGGGCAGACTGCTTGCTTTCTATAAAAACAAAAAGAGCCAATTTAGTAGGGCTGGGTATCGAGTTCAATAATTTTTAGGCACCGACCGAATTGCCTCAATACCATCGAGTATCAAAAAATGTCTTTCGGTACCAAATTTCGATACCTAAAAGGTTCTTGTTAACGCCAATGAGCCAATAAGCATGCAGCATTTTTGATGTGCCCACATCTAAAAGTGATGGCTGCGGTGATGTAAACACTACCTGTTACGCACAGACACGTGGCTCGTGGATTTAAAAGACGTGGAGAAAATCAAGTGTGGCTTGATTCAACAGCGCGCGATGCAATATTTGCGATGTAAGATAATTGCTGCCAAGAGCGGCGACACGACAAACCTGCTGATGCCCTTGACTGTTCATGCAATAAACTTATCAGTATCAGTAAGTGACGCCACCTACCACTCTATTGTGATAGTTCACCTCTTCCTCTAGTGAGGAGGAAACTTTGATATGTAGTGGCAGAAACTTGTTTCCGTGAGATGAGAGATTTCTCTCTCTTTCTCTCAGGCCTATTGCCATGAATGTTTAGGTTGCAATGTTGCCAGAGCACAAATTCACATTTATACAAAGAAGATATAATTAATAAACAATGAAATTACATTATAAAAACTAAAGAAAGAGGAATAAAAACAATTTTTGTTGAATTTTTCTAAGGAACAATTATTAAAACAACAAACTATTAATGATAATAATGTGATAATTAAGTTACTTTACAAACAACAATGGTTCTCCGTTTGTTGAGAATAAAATTGGTATCGAAAAAAGTATCGTTCAGGAACCGGTATCGAAGTCGAGGTATCCTATCGAAAATCTTTGAACGATACCCAGCCCTACATTTTAGCGAAGGATATTGCACATAGATGAGGCAGTTGTGCTTGTGCTCTAGATAAAGGTACACCAGCATTAACATCATTACAGCAGATTGACTTTAGATACCTAACCAGAAACTGATTATTTATTTCCTCAAGTAACAGGCCCTGTAATGACTGGGTTATGTGAAAATAACCTTTATAATTATGATTACATTTAATTTGATCCACCCAAACACAACAATCAGCAGAATAATTACTGCTTTATCTCACTTGACAAGGAAACATTCATCTTAGCATGGGTTGCAAATAATGAGTATACTGATTTATCTATTGGTAAGTTGTCATTGTTTTGAATTAATCAAAGTTCTGTTGATCCATAAAATGTTGGAAAGTGACAAATACTCATTGCAAGGTCCAAGAGTCCAAAGGATTGTCTTCCAATTGCTTATTTTGTCTGAAAAACCCGACGAAATTAATACTGACATGAGAGAAACTGGTTTTGGCAACTATTTAGGAGAAATGTATTGAGACTATTAATCAAGTACCAAAATTATTTTTCAGTCTTGTCTTCCCTTAGTGAAATAGAAGCAGGGATATAAGAACTAACACAATAAATCAAGCGGCCATATGTATGTAGGCCAGACAAATCCCTCAGCATCCTGTCTATTATTTCAATACTCAGGCATCTTTCTCAAGGGCAAAAAACTATCTGGCCTGTGGGTTGTAGTTTTGGCAGCTGTGCTCTAAATACTACCATACTTCATTCTTTAACGCAATTTCAACATCCATCATCTATCTCACCCGTCTCTCTCTCTCCCTCTCTCACATTTTTAATGCTTGTTGGCTGATTGCTGTTTGAAGAACTTTGTTTGCCCTCAAATCCATCGTCTCCATGGGGATTAATAAAGTCAAATTGAGCTGAATTGAGTTGACATTGAAGAGACAGACAGAACCGTTTTCTCCGAGACACTGAGTGATGTCGGCTCTAAAGGACAGGAGGACACATGTGCAGGAACAGGGCTATATTCAGAGCTGGGTTAAGTGTGGGAAATGAGGAGTTAATGCTGTCTAATATGGAGATTGGTGGAGCACAGACGGCTGCACATGTGGGACGGAGTTTCCCCTGAGTAAAAACATGCATCTGACCTTTCACTACTCAGGCGATGTAACACACATTGCCTATTGCAGTGCATGCGGCTCTATTTGTTAATAAATGTACTTAGCCTAAATGCTGGTGTAAAAAAGGCCATATGATTAATGTAAAGCAAGTTGAAATTGGCCACATTTGCAACCTGCCTGCTCAGTGTCTGGTCATTCACAATGGTTCAATCTGTTCAGATGTTGCGTGCCTCTCAGAATCTGAAATATCGTTATCTGCGGCCATACGCAGTCATGCGGGGTCCTTGTCCAACTGATTTTTAAAGACGAAGAGGTGCAATAAGAATAACGAGAAAAAAACTACGTGTGCTTTACAATGGTGACATGCAGCCATCACACAAATTTCAACAAAGAGACATCTGCAGCTTTATGTCAACTTCAAGAATGCCCCCCTTTGTGTGCTTGCTTTAGATTTCTTCTCAGCACCCTGTGTCTGAGAGCAATGGCAACTCCCATAATAACCACACATTTAATTGTTGCGGACAGCGAGCACACAACCACAAAGGAGATGGCACATTTCCAGTCCTGTTCTCTTAATTACCGGGGGGTTGCAAGGGAACCAGGAAGATGGTTTTTGGTTTTAGGAGGGCTTCTGACAAGGTAACTAACAAACTGCAATGCCAGAATGATGTTACAAACACTGGCAGTATATACAGGAGTATTATAGGTGGACAACATAATAAAACAAACACAAAAAGCACCGTGGCAATTTTGCTGTATTTTTTCTCCATTGATGTGTTGTGTGACCATCAAAAACACTTTTTGGCGAGGGAACACACGCACACACACACATATACACCCACTCACTCTTTGTTAAGTACCAAGGTCCTCTTGCTTGTGGTATTTGAAGCACTGAAAAATCCCACTTGAAAAACTCAACAGCAGCATACCTTCCCAGAAACAGTGTTTAGCAGAAACCTCAAAACTTCTGCAGACAAATCAAATACTACAGCAAAGTGGGAAAGAGTGTCTTTGTGTGTGTTGTGCTTGAACTCTTTCCTGGCAGTCACCAACTCTGAATAAAAGCTAAAGTATGCATGTGAGTGTCTGTGTGGATGTAAAAGCAGCAGGGTGAATTGGGGCTCCTTCAAGATTTGGAATGCAGTTCTGTGTCTACAAGCCCTCTCTCTTGGTGTGTTTTCTCTTCTGGGATCAATACCTCAGATTTGATCTTGTTGTCTCCAAAGCAGAGGTGCTGGAGGTAGGCAGCAGCGTTGGACTGGACTGATGGGAACTGATGCTGCAACATCTGGATCACCTCAGGCAGTTCTGGATCCCTCCAGCCAAACTCCCTACGGAGACACACAGAAAAAATACAGTATGTTTTGATGTGTGCAGAGATAGAGTTGTGTGTGTGTGTGTGTGTGTGACTGAACCTGTTACTAGGCAGCTTGTCTCCCTACTATAACCCTGATTTAAAATGCTCACTGGAGAAAAAGAAAGAGAGAAACAGAAATGGAGGTTGGAGATGAATCAAAAGAAAGACATTAAATACACAGATTTGTGATCCATGCTATAAAAGGTATTTAAAATATTTAAACCATTAATTTGGGGGTGACAATTCACAAACATCCAGCCCTAACCATAAAAAAAACCCTAATTGTGTATTTACTCTCTGGCCCACATTTTTGACCCTAATAATGCTGCAGCATACATTGATATTTCAGACAACAATGCTTCCAACTTTGTAGCAACAGTTTATGTTTAGCCATTTCCTGTTTCAACATGACAAAGCTAGCTCCGTAGTGAAATGGTTTTCCCAGTTTGGTGTGGAAGAACCTGACTGGCCTGCAAAGAGCCCTGACCTCAACTCCATCTAACTGAACAGACACTCAAAGAGAGCGAATATTGAGCGCACGATCAAGACCAGAACCAGTTTGTTGCCTTTAAAGTGAGCGACTGTTGAGCTGTCAAGTAAAATTAACAGAATTGTGTGGTGTTTGAATAAAGTTACATAAAAAGTACAAACCCAGTGCCTATCCATCAATGAGCATCTACACTAAAACATCAAACAAAAGCACACAGTGTATGGATCCAAATACACACATACAAAAATAGTTATTGCTATTATTACATTGTATATATATTAAGAATAGTTTAAATTTTTTTCTGAAAATCTAAATTCATATGAAAACGCCTTTGGTTTGCCTTTGATGTCGTAATAAGCTCAAAGCCACCACTATGAGCGACTTGGCGAAATAGTAGATCTCCAATGAATGATAATGCGTCTCCAAACTGCCAGTAAAGCAGTATCAATATATATTTTATCTGGTGAACTCCAATTGTCTTGTCTAGTCGTAATCTAATAAGCGAAGTTGAGGATGGATGCCCAGGTATAACATATCAACAACAGATTTCCAAAACAAAGTTTGAAGGTCACAGGACCAAAACATTCTCATTTTATCATGTTATGCATCCTCTCTGGGGTATAATGTATCCTGTACAGCATCTTAAAAATAAGTCATCCATCCATTCATCATCAACTGCTTATCCTGTGTAGAGGGTCAGAAGGGGGCTGGAGCCAATCCCAGCTGGTACTGGGCGGGAGGCGGGGTACACCCTGGGCAGGTCGCCAGTCCATCGTAGGGCACACAGACACGGACAGCCGCTCACACTCACATTCACACCTAAGGGCAATTTCGAGTCACCAATTAATCTACTTGCATGTGTTTGGATGGTGGGAGGAAGCCGGAGCACCTACAGAGAACCCACGCAGACACGGGGAGAACATGCAAACTCCGCACAGCAAGGCCTAGGACAACCAAGGTTGGGAGCCTGGACAATCTTGCTGTGAGGCGACAGTGCTAACCACTGCACCACCGTGCCGCACCAAAATAAGTCATTTAATCCTTAAATTAAATGAACATTTGAGACAGAAATATGTCCCCATGGCTTATATGTTGTGCTAAACATTCAGGAGACCTTTACGGAGCAAAAGGGTGGTGATGGTACAGGGATAAGACACATGCCTTTGGTGTGAAAGACCTGGGTTCGATTCCCACTGTGAACCATCCACCATTGTGTCCTGAGCAAGACATTTAACCCATCGTTGCTCCAGAGGTGTGCAACCTCTGATGTCGATAGCAATTGTAAGTCGCTTTGGATAAAAGCGTCAGCTAAATGTAAATACAAAAAAGGTTCTCTACACATTGTCATAGGACAACAGCAGCCACCTTGGATTCAATAAAAGAGCTTCTTTCTGCTGTTCCTTCTTCATCTAACTGCCCCAGCTGCTTTAAGCATGTAACCAGGGTCTACCAGTGCTTTTGCCTAAAGGCATGCTTTAGGCACAGACACACACACACACACACACACACACAGAGAAACACACTAAGCTCACTAACCCTATGAATGTGTCTAAGGGTGTGTGTGAAAGAAGAAAAACTGATAATTAATGTGAGAAAGATGTGATGTGAGAGAATGAAGTCACGGCGAGGGATCAGAGAGCGGGATGGAGGGAGGAGAGGGAGACAGAGCTTATCGATGTAGATTATCTGTAGCCAACGGCAACGAAATACCACGCTCCCTTGACAGTTTCTAGGTAACAACAATAACTGGGACCAGATCTTTTTAGTTTTCTTATTTTTGACAAAGTTTTATTCCCACAGGTGATCATTTATAGACCTGGGGGGGGGATTGCCACAATTTTGTTTTACTATGCTCTGCTACCTTTTTGGTGCATTGTCAACATGCTGTTTCTGCTTTTAAATCAACACATTCGCACATTTTGATTAAAATTTTTCTGACAGTTGTGAGAAGTTTGAGCTGCTTATAGAAGCCCTGTTTGCTCTGCTCTTATGTAGAAACCCATTTCTCTTTGATGTATCTTATCCTTGATGCAGCAACAGCCCGCCGTCCCCGTGGAGATAATTTCTGTTCAGTCTAATCTAACATAAACACATTCACACACAAACACTGATACACACCACTGGGTGCTGTAGGATAACTCAGTGTGCAGCCTTGAGCGCACACACGCGCGCACAATCCAGCACACTAATATAGTAGTCAAACACATACACTCATTGACTTGCATGCACACCCAGTCATCAAAGGCAGTGCAGAAGAGCCAGGATTAGAAAGCTTTTGTCTTTAAGTTTCATAATGGGCCAATGGGATAAACCCAGTGTTTGAAAAATGGGGAAATTGGAGAGAGAATTATTTCAAAGGTTATTTTTTTTCTCTCTCTTTGAAATCTTCCCTCTCTTTAACAATTTTCTCTCTTTTTTATTTATTTCTTTTTTTCTCAGTGTCTCCCTCTGTTTTCTTCTTACCGCCGTGCTCCAGGCAAATTCGTACACACATGCACAGCCACGACGTTAACAGACACTAAGTTGTTATGCACATATACAGTGGCACGGGCCTCAATAAATGTGATCAGAGGCGACAACCTTGTGTAGGTCACCTTGTGGGTTAATTGGCTGATAACACATCTAGCGTTATGGCTGAGCGACGTGTGTGTGTGTGTTTTGTGTTTTTTTACATTGTAATCAGAAAGTGGGACACCAGCGATAACAACGCCCGTAAACCTGACACTTCTCTAAAAACAAGTAAACCAGATGGCTTCGCTTATCAGACAGACTCAGCTACGTCATTTGGTCAATTGAAAGGGTTAAAGTGATTAACAACAAAAACAAACATAAACGTTAATTAAAGGCTAATGGAGATAGAAGTGTGAGGCTGTAACAAGAGATTACAATATTCTATTCTATATTATTTATATATCAATATATATATTATTTAATGATTCTTTCTATTTACACTTTAGTGCATTTCAGACAAAGATATTGCACTATTTACTTGACTACAATTATTGACAACAATATCTACGCGTTTCTTTACAGATAAAAGGTATTTTACATACATACACAGTAAGGTCAGTTATAGATGATAAAATAAGTTTAAATAAGTAAATAAAATAATTTGATAAGTGACAAAGTAAACCAAAGAAGCTATAATATACTGGACTCCTAGTCCTAACATACAGTAGATAAAAATAAATAAAAGGAACAGGTGCCCAATCGTAAAAGTAATAGCACCACTAGGACAAGTATTAAGGTTTTAACTATTCAGAACATTTACTTGTTAAGGAGTATTTCTAGATTATAGAATTAATACTGTTTAAGTGAAGGATTTGAATAATTATTATTACCATCAGACTAAGTCTGATTTTTGAGTGTTTTCCCTATTAACGAAGCCTGCCTTTTATCCTTGGTATACTGAACAGTGTGATTTTAAAAACAAATTAAAGTTTTCCAAGTAAATCTGTGGTTGGGAAGTTGGGAGTCAGCTGAAGACAATCTAAAGTAAATTGATGAAAGTTTTTGACAGTGCAGTGGAGGTTCTGTCTGAGCTTTATAACTAAGGGTGAACAGTGGAACTTGATCCAGTTATGTTCCCCTACCACATCATACACTTTGTAGTTATTATAGTTTTAGCCACCGGAGGACACATTCAGCCGCAGACAGGAAGCTTTCATACAAGAAGTGCATCAACACTTTAAGCTTTTTATCCATACTTTGTCTTGAAAGTTGCAACTACTGAACTGGTGAAATGAGGTTGAAAAAGTGCTTTTCAGGTCATGTCTCATCAAAACAGCACAGCGTGGTGTTACCTGCACATCAGCAGCCAAAGAATAAACACTACTTCAAGGTCAAAGTGGCACTTTAGAAAGCACTCTACAATAAGTATAAAAATATTATTTTCTTATCCTGTATCTCTGTCTTTTCCTTCAAAATGTCTGTCTCACGTGTGTGGGGTCAAAGTGGGGCCACACATGTAACTACAGCATAGACTATGGCTCAATCCCATTTCAACCCCTTGGCCCCTGTAACTCTGTCTTAAGGGCCAAGGGGTTGAAATATTCCTACCAAATGGAACAACCTTCAGGGACCCGATACGTCATCAGTACTTGACCAGGACTCTGAGAAGCAACAAGTTTTTACAAGATTTCTCCATGACAACAACTGACAACAACTCCAATATGCCGTCCTCCTCTGTGGTAATCTCTCTCGTGTGGTAACATTATATCACACATCAAGCGATCTAACAAGTCACCAATGAAAAATAAAAAACACGGCTTCATTACCTAACTTCGTTACCTATAGTAACTAACGTTACTAGCAAAGCTAGCTGACAGGACAACATGCTAGCGGCTGAACTGAATTTCTTTAAATGATTGTTTGAAATTAAATGACATTAAACTAAGAATAACTATGGCTACTGTAAATTATACGAAGAAAATACTTGTATTCTGGGAATTTTCTCGCAGCCCTCCTTTTGGAGTGTGTCTCTG